ATTTTGGTTTTTTATGTAACTTTAAACCAATTGACCATAGATATATGAAATTTTCACCAAATGTTTATATAAGTATACTCTATCCAACATGCAATTTTCAAAAAATGTTGACCTAAGTTCAACTATTTATAAGCATATGCAATTTCAATCATTATTAGTTTTTTTWAAATTAATATCGATAAAAATTTATTTGGTGGTAGAAAAGCTTGAAAATTTAATATAAGTTTCCTGACATATTGTTACAATAGTGGTTGAAAAATAAAATAAATTCATAGTCACAAATTTTTTTATAAACATTCAATGTTTGAATTTTGACAACACACGTTAAAATCACAAAAGTATACATATAATATTTATTTTTTCCATTATCGCTGATAATTTCAGGACATCATGCAAATAATATTAATTTAACTTACAAACTACCATATTTATAATAAGTAATAATAATCAGAATCGTTTTTCCTAAACAATGATTTAATATCATTGGATTCAAATTTAATTCCATGATCCCATCCATTACAGTAACCCACTTGTAACATTCTGTACACCCGAGCAACATCCACGACTTACCTGCTTTTTTCACATTTTAGAGCATTAAAATAACAAAAAACAATAAAAATAAATTAAATTTGACATGTTTCTTGGTATCAAAATTCTAAAAAATTTCAATTAACATTAACAGTAGGTATACAAGATTGAATAAATTTCTAGAAATTTTATTTATTTATTGGTCAATTTAAAAGGGCTGAATGAACTAATTAAACTTATTAGAGTTAATCTTCACAACAAAATTCATGTTACACTATGTACAACCTAATATTCCTGGGAATAAGATAATATTAAGATACATTATCAGCCAAAATAGGTTAGGTTAGATTATACACATTGTCTAATTTAAATATTTAATATTTTCAATGTACCTATACAGAAATAAATTTTGATATTCTATGTAGTTCGATAGGTTCCTTTTTTTGGTATCAGTTTCAAGAAAAAACTGATAACCGCCAATATCTGGTATCGGTTCTAGTATCGATCCACCCCTAATTATTATCTATTTTTTTTTAAATTTTTAAACTGATATTTTGAGTGCACTATTTAGAATTTTTAGGACAAAAAAGCTTTTTTTGAGGTTTAAGACATACAAATTCCAGACTCTGGATCAGACCTTATTATTATGCAATTTATAAAAATAATAATTATTAACAATTTAAATTCATTCTGTGTTTATATTAAGTAGGTATAAGTTTTAGATGGTTAATATTTACATCAGAAGTCGCAATTTTTAATTTTTCAATTGTGATAATAGCTGACTGTTATCCATTTAAAATTTTAAAGCCAAGTGTTGGCAAGAATGTATGTATAGTTTTTACTTTTTTTCTAATTCCYCTGTGAATTATATATCCTCTCATACCTCTCCCATAAATATGCCACTAGGTGGTTCAATAGACTTGGACCATAAATACTTTTAATTGCATAATCTCTTCTATTAATTTCAAAATAWATAATAAAATTATATACTTACTAGCAATACTTAGTGCAAAGTAGCTTGAAATTTCCTGTCCCCTCTCATGTGGTTGAACACAACTGAAGTAAGAWGTGTGGCTGTCATTCATTGTGGCTATTAATGCACCATAAGATTTATTTTTATTTTGACTGTCATGGCAGACGTCAAATCCAACTATCATCATATTCTGATAAAAGACATGATAAAATGATTTCTCTAAATATATTAAATTTACAATATATAAAATATATAGAGTTTACAATAAGTCATACCTTTTCAGGGATAATAACACGCCATGGTGCTCCACCTAGCTTGCAATTAATTTGTATGGCAATTTTAGTACACACCGACATATTGTTAT